TCTTTCTTTTCTTTTTTATTTTTTAGAGACAGCATATGGGAGGGACAGAGGCAGAGAGAGAGAGAGAAAATCTTAAGCAGGCCCCACAGCTCAGTGTGAAGCCCAATGAGGGGCTCCATCTCACGAACTTCATGAACCTGAGCCAAAATCAAGAGTTGGCCACTTTACCAATTGACCCAGGTGCCCCCTTATTTAATTTCTTCAAAATTAAATGGTTGATTAGACTTTATCAAAATTCAAAGCTTTTATGCATTAAAAGATAGTATCAAGAAAGTAAAAAGACAACCCCTACAATGGGAGAAAATATTTGTGAATAATATATCTGATTAGAGTCTAATATCTAGAATATATAAAGAACACTTAGAGCTCAACAATAAAAAGACAAATAACCCAACATGAATAAGGGGAAAGTATTTGAATAAACATTTTTTCAAAGAAGATATATGCACGTGGAAATCATTAATTGGGAATATCATTAATCATTGGGAAAATACAAATCAAAACCACAATGAGATACTATTTAATATCCATTAGGTTGACTATAGTAAGAAAGAAAGAAAGAAAGAAAGAAAGAAAGAAAGAAAGAAAGAAAGAAAGAAAGAAAGAAAGAAAAAGAAAGGAAAGAAGGAAGGAAGGAAGGAAGGAAGGAAGGAAGGAAGGAAGGAAGGAAGGAAGGGAGGGAGGAAGGGAGGGAGGGAGGAAAGAAGGAAGAAAACAAGCATTAATGGGAGTATGGAGAAATTAGAACCATCATACATTGCTGTTGGAGATGTAAAATGTTGTAGCCACTGTAGAAAAGTTTAGCAGTTCTTCAAAAAGTTAAATAGAATTTAGCACATGACCCAAACATTACAGCCTTCTGTATATACCCAAGATAAATGAAAACATGTTTACAAAAAATTGTTTATAGATGTACATAGCAGCATTATTCACAATATCCAAAAACTAAAAACAATCCAAATGTTCATCAACTGAAAAGTAGATAAACAAAATGTGACATATCCATTCAATGGAATATTAATCTATAAAATGGAATGACTTCTAGAAAGTACCTAAGTGTCCATCAAAATATAGTAGATGAAAAAAATATAGGACTATTCATACAATAGAATTTTACTCAAAAGAATGAACTTGATACATGCTACAACACTGATGAGCTTTGGAAATATTATGGAAGTGCAAGAAACTAAACACTAAAGGCATTTTAAATTTTAATTTCTATGTATTTATTACTGGTATACAGAGAAACTATCAATCTTGTATACAATCAATTGGTATACACAGCGCATTTAGTCTCCTTTATCATCCTATAAATTCATTTTACTAGAGTCTTTCAGATTTATATCATATAATTTGAAAAACAAGATAATTCCATATAATCTTTTCAAATATTCACATTGGTTATTTTATTTCCCTACTTTATTATACTCATCAGTACTTTTAAAACATGTGATGTTCAAACATAGTATTTATTTTTGTCATATTTTTATTTGAGAGAGAACGAGCATGAGTGGGGGAGAGGGACAGAGAGAGAGAGAGAGAGAGAGAGAGAGAGAGAATCTCAAGCTGGCTGCATCCACAGGGTGGAACCCAACGAGGGGCCTGGTCCCAGGATCCTGGGACTGCGATCTGAGCCGAAATCAAGAGTCAGACATTTAACCTACCAAGCCACCTCCTAGGTGCCTGGATGGCTCAACTGGTTAAGGAGCCAACTCTTGATTTGGGCTCAGGTGCCTGAGCTGTCAGTGCAGAACCTGCTTAACATTCTCTCTCCTCTCTCTCTGCCCCTCCCTGCTTGCACTTGCTCGCTCTTGCACACACGTGTTCTCTCTTTCTCAAAATAAAGAAACATAAACAAATTTTTTTTTTTTACAAACAGTTTATTGTCAAATTAGTTTCCACATAACACTCAGTGCTCATCCCCACAAGGGTCCTCCTCCATGCCCATCCCCCCCCCCCATCTATCAGTCCTCAGTTTTTGTCAGCATTCAAGAGTCTCTCATGGTTTGCCTCTCTCCCTTTCCCCCACCATTTCCGCCCTTCTTCTCCCCCTTGTTCCTCCCTCAAGTTCCTCCTAATCCTCCTATACGTGCAAACATATGATATTTGTCCTTCTCTGCCTGACTTATTTCGCTCAGCATAACACCCTCAAGGTCCATCCATGTTGCTACACATGGCTCAGCATCCCTCCTCATCAGGGAAATACAAATCAAAACCACACTGAGATAACATAAACAAAATTTTTAAAATGATGTCTTCCACGGGGCGCTTGGATGGCTCAGTCAGTTAAGCGTCTGTCTTAGGCTCCCACGGTTCGTGGGTTTGAATCCCGCGTTGGGCTCTGTGCTGACAGCTAGCTCAGAGCCTGGAGTCTGTTTCGGGTTCTGTATCTCCCTTTCTCTCTGACCCTCCTCTGCTCACGCTCGCTCTCTCTCTCTCAGAAATAAATAAAACATTTTAAAAAATGTTAATAAATAAAAATGATATCTTCTAAATTTCCTTGTTTTATTAAACCAAAGTAGTAGGATTTGAAAAATGAATTCTATGCCCAAACAATTGTTAATCATTAAATTACCTTAAAAAAATTCTCTTTAAGTTGCTTCTTTCTTGAACTAAGTTTTCTTGAACTAAGGTGTGTCAAAGATTCTTTTAAAGAAAACTTATATCTTTTTTATTAATTCATTCAGTAAACAAAACAGTTGGATTCTGAGATAAGGATAATGTAGTTTGAGAGATCAGGTTTTAGGGGAAAAAACACAAAGTCCATATTTTTCATGAACTACGAAATCATATATCTAATGGCAGACTTTTTTCCCCTGAAATTAACTTTGTTCTCTCTATATTAAATACATCTTTCTTTCTAAATTAAATACATATTTTATTTAATAAAATACTTTTGTAAAAGTTGACAAAGTATAATAAATTACTATGCTGTTTTACATTTATTAAGGGGAAGTCCCAAACTTTTCCATTACAGAGATTATATTTCCATCATTTAAGGAAGAAATTTCATTTAATTTTACTACATGGAGAGAATAAGAGATAACAATTAATTAAGTTATATAAAAATCCAATTTTCATTACAGCAAGCTCCTGCACTAAGGTTTCTGACAGTCATGAAGTCATTATGTCATGGTCTTCATTATAATCCTACAATAAAACCATTTCTTTCAGACTGAGGGGAGCCCAATATACAGAACAGAAGACACAAAACCCACTCAATATTAGTATAAGATTTAAGTTGAATTTGTAATGTACTAGAATATTTTGCTTACATTGCAATAACGTACAAGATGACTTTTTAGTTGTGCTAGGTGCCTTTTTTTTGGCACCTAGTCACTTTTATGACTCAATGTGAAACTCAAAGTTAAGTGTGTCTCATATTAAAATGGTAGCAGAGATAGGGAAGGATCAATATTATACTCTAAAGAAGCTGTTATGTGATTATCTGCTTTACTGGTCTGAGCAACAGTTAATTCCCAGGTGCAAATAATACCATAAAATACAATATTCCCCCTTAGAGATAGTTTAACTCCAGTATTACTACACTCTTAATCCAATCTTTGACTCAAACCAAATTCAGTGAGCTGCAGATACTATGGAGTTAAAAATGGCAGAAAACCACCATAACATATCAAATATCTATATGCTTGGTAGAAATCATTCCCATCTATTCACAAGAAGCCTTCATTTGTCATGTTTCTACTGTATTACCTTTCCACAAAACAAAACAAAATAGACTATGGAGTTTGATATGTCAGCTACTGAGATTAAAAAAAAGTGGAAGGGTTGGGGCGCCTGGGTGGCTTAGTCACTTAAGCGTTCGACTTCAGCTCAGGTCATGATCTCACAGTCCATGGGTTAGAGCCCCAAGTTAGGCTCTGTGCTGACAGCTCAGAGCCTGAGCATGCTTCAGATCCTGTGTCTCCCTCTCTCTCTGCCCATCACCCGCTCACTCTCTGTCTCTTTCAAAAATAAAATAAAGACATAATTTTTTTTTTTTTAAAGTGGAAGGGTAAGCCAGGCCTGTTTTAAATTCTATAGGCAATGAAATCAAGACATTACAAGTCTAGCAAAGGCCATTTTTTTTCAAGCTTCTAAAAATATCCATGCATTGAGAGGAATGTAGAAGAGGAAAGATCTACCCATTACTTATTCTTCCAAAGCTATTGATCCTTAGTAATAATGCTTCTTTAAAATCAACATTGTTAGGCACATTAAAGCTAAAATACTTGAAAAGAGTTTGCCAAAGTCAAACAATCCTCATCCCACACATGCAATCAACAGGTTGAGTTAGGTGTCAACTGGCAAGAAGTTCAGTTTCTGGGGACGACCTGAAGGATGGTGTTCTGATCAAACAAAAATCCAGCAGCACAATTCTGAAACCTCTGAGAATGTGCTTTATCAATGTGGGAATAACAGGAGAAAAGAATTTCAAATAATTACCATAATCCGTTGGAAACTCAAGGCTTAATTTCTTAGCTTGGCAGCTGTGTGTGATTCAAGGGCAAGTCAAGGTATAAAGACCTAGAGCCAAAGCACCTATTAAGAGCCATTTCATCTCTGTATCTTTTCCATTATCTTTTGTTACTTACTCATTAATCAATAAGCATTTATTGGAAGCATGTCTTTCATATGATACATAGTTATGTGGAATACAAAAGAAATATCAACATCTATCCCCCTCAAATTTATGATCAGTACAGATATAGAGCAGTAACCTTTAAGATTAGTGGTATTCTAAATGAATTATATTTTCATGTATCTACAATTATGTTTGATTTGAGAAGCATATCTGGAAAGGCTGAGTCAGATACTATAGGTAGAAGCAATTAATGAGAGTTCACTTAATTTGATAGCTCAGATTTGACAAGTGTTTATCCCAGCATTTTAATAACTTAATAAGTTCCAAGTAATTTTGGTAGAGAGGTGATGTATCAATTACCCACACCAATCCATCTATCATATTGCAATAATGCCCTCAGTCTTATCTGGTTTACCTTTCTGATGATCTATCCCATTATTGCTCACATACATCTTCTCTCTCTTCCCATTTCATCTCTTCACAGAATCCTCTGTATTCTTTTTTTTTTTTAAGATAAATCAGAATAATTTCTTAGTCTGAAGATAAGCTGAACTATATGAAGAATGTAATAGATGAAATATGTTGTAATCTGGACAGGAAAACAGAGATGTTAAGAAAAAAATTTTTTTTTAAATTATGGCTGAAATTCAGAGTTAACCTACTGGCCAAAGGTAATGATTATCATGCTATTAGTAACCAATAACATTAGTTTAATTTCTAAGAGATAGAGGATATCTCTTCCTTAAGACTATGCTTAATATTATCATTATAAGACTGAAGCTGACTTGGGGCTCTCGGGTGGCTCAGTCGGTTAAGCATCCAACATCCACTCAGGTCATTATTTCATGGTTCAGTTCTAAGTTTGAGCCCCACATCAGGTTCTGTGCTAACAACACAGAACTTGGAACCTGCTTTGAGTTCTGTGCCTCTCTCTCTCTCTGCCTCTCCTCCATTCATTTTGTCTCTCTTTCTCTCTCTCAAAAATAAATAAACATTAAAAGTTTTTACAAAATATTATCACTATAAGACTGAAGCTGACTTTAATCTTTTTTGCCTCAACACATTTTTGGTTTATTATGGCAGCTATTTAGGATATTTGTCTTATTTTGTCTAATATGAATTCTGATATATCTCAAAGCAATGTCCACCTAAGTTATTTTAATTTCGGGATTAGGGTACTATGGAAGTACTCCTCAAACTTAAACGTGCTTACAAATCTTGTGGCTGTCAGAGCTACCTGGGTAGCTCAGGTGGTTTAGTGTCAGATTTTTGGCTCAGATCAGGATCTCACAGTTGGTGTGTTTGAGTCCTGCATCGGGCTCTGTGCTGACAGCTCAGAGCATGGAGCCTGCTTTGGATTCTGTGTTTCCCTCTGTCTCTGCCCCTTCCCGACTTTCTGTCTCTCTCTCTCTCCAAAATAAATCAACATTAAAAGAAAAACAACAAGTCTTCTGGGGAGTTGTTAAGATGCAGATTCTGATTCAGTAGGTCTCTGTGAGGTCCGAGGTTCAGTACTTTAGAATACTCCCAAGTGCCTCACACTTTGAATAGCAAGGCATTACAGCATTTACTGCATGGTGCTGTGTTATTTGTCTGAACAAGTGTTATCCAATAGTCTATGGTGCCTGGAGTGTTGTTGATGCTCACAAATGCTTATTGAATGAATGAATGTCTAAAATTCAACCTGACATAAATTTCACCATCCAGGCAGGACTCTTAGTTTTTCTCAACCTTCAAGGCTTCTAAAACTGCTGAGAAATTTTCTCTTGTGAGAAAAGATCATGACCCTGATCCAGTCCCAGGGTGCTTCTTCACTAACCAACCTACCACAGGAGACTTGCCTTCAGACAGTAGAGTACAATTCCAACATTTGACCTGAGAGGTTAATTCCTGTGGAACTTTTTTAAAGGGCAGAAATTTTGACATTGGTTTTGGAAGTTAGACTTTTTATTATTTATTTTCTATCTTGTGTAAAAGTTGCCACAAACTCAGTCACTTAGAACAACATCCATTTATTAGCTTCACAGTTCTGAAGTCCAGGCATGATGTGGCTAGGCTTAAAAATTGAAATCAATGTAAGTTGGTCTGATTTGCTCCCTGGAAGCTCTTGTTTTCCAAATTATGATGATTTTTTGCATACTTAACTGCTTAATTTTAGTGTAGTCTAGTTAGCTAATATAATTATTGCTTTTATGGTCAGTGCTTTTGAGTAAAATTAAAATATCAGGATTGGTTCACTTCCAAACAATAGGAAACTCAACTTCAATTGCCATAAACAAAAAAGGGAAAGCATTGTCTCATATAATTTTAGAGACTTTCAATAATAATATCTTCTGTTAGAATCTGAATCAGGCACAAATGACCATAAAGATTCATCTCTCTGTTCTGACTCATAAGGGCTAGTAGTGCTATTCTTCCTTCCCATACTCCAAGTGGTGGGCACTGGCATCTTTAGATTCATCCTTGTCATCACAAAATAACCGCAGCACCAGACCTCACACTCATATGATCAAGTCTGCAGGACATTGATAAAATTTCTCTTTCCCAGAAGCCCAAATGTTGGTTCTGTGTTTCATCAGTTCTCATTTTCATACATGCTAATCTTGAACTGATAACTATGGCCAAGAAGATGAGGCATGCTGACCAATTTTACACTATTGTGGGCCAACTTCTGTTTCTAAAAATTGAGTCAACCACTAAAAACCACTTGGACTGAGAGTAGGGAAATGAGGGTAAGGTTATCAAAAACAAAAACAAAAAACATTACTCCTTTGGGGACAGGTGGCCAAAAAACCCAACAAATATCCATATAATAATCATTTTTAACTTCACAAGTGACACTGAAATGTGATTACTACTACATTTATGAGTAGAGACTTGATATCAAATACTGGCCTTTCTATTCCTTGTGATAATGATTTACTCTAAGTTATAACTGCATCATATTTATGATGGAAATAACACTTTTAAAGTTATCATGAATTAAATAGAAATTATACGTAAAGTGCTTGCCATATGCTTGATAAGTATAGTAGCACAGTTGTTATTAACATTTCAGTGTTAATTGAGCTATGTACTGCCTGTCTTCAGGTATTTACATGTGAACCTTCCTCCCTGATTATGGTAACAAAGACATAGTCCTTTCTTCATTAAACACCAGACATCTCCCATCAGAAGGAGATGAAGCTGGAGTGTGGGGCTCATGCCTGCCCCAGTGAGATCCAACCCTGTGTGATCTGTTTGTAGGATGATGAAAAGAAGAAACAAAGTGTTCCTTCTTAACAGACTTACTATTCTGTTTTCAACCTATTAACTCCAAGTTCTTTACTTTATTTCTGAAAGAAAAGTGAATTTGGGCAATTTAATTAATTTTCAGTGAATAAAAATTCACTCCTCAATAAAATGGGCATTAACATCATCTAACAGAGTAGAACTTATGTTATATGTTAGCACTTAGCTAAAATAGGGACTCAAGTAACATGAATCTCTCCCTGCCCCTTCTCCTATACCAACTGTGAATCCTTTCTAGTCCTTCACATTTCTTTCATCTTTTTCCTATATCAACATTCACTAGCAAAAGCACACATCCTTTCAAGGAAACAACCATTCTTAGGATTTCTCTAGGAAAATATGTTCCCAAGAAAAGCCATCAGCCAAAGAACAGTTAAGGGAAGGGGCACAGCAATTCCCATTTACTGTAAGTACACTGTAAGATGGCAGGGAGCCATATTTTAAATTTATTCTGTTTGAGCTTATTTGTGGCCAATTTTGAACTCTTGCTTATTTTTAGGGAAGCCTCAATTACATCACCCAGACTAAAAGAGATTTTCAGGACAATTAAGAAACAGATGTACTTAACATAAGTGTTTGAAGCTTTTAAAATAGCCCATTATTTGCTTATCTTCAAGAAAGTTCATCACAAAACAAAATCCTACTCTAAATGTTCCTTGAGAATATATCATACTATTATCACTAGTGGCCAGTGGGGAGAAGTTTGTATTTATCCTAATCCACATGCTAGAATATTTTATTTTTAAACCTTAAATATTGTTTAATGTTTTTTATTTATTTTTGAGAAAAACAGACAGCATGAGTGGTGGGAGGGAAGAGAGAGAGGAAAACAGAATCCAAAGCAGGCCCCAGGCTCTGAGCTGTCAGCACAGAGTCCAGTGTGGGGCTCGAACCCATGAGCTGTGAGATCATGACCTTACCTGAAGTTGGACGCTTAGCCGACTGAGCCACCCGGGTGCCCCTAGAATATTTTATTTTTAAGAATCAATTTCAGGGGCACCTGGGTGGCTCAGTTGGTTAAGCGTCCAACTTCGGCTCAGGTCATGATCTCACAGTTCGTGGGTTCGAGCCCCACATTGGGCTCTGTGCTGACAGCTAGCTAAGAGCCTGGAGCTTGCTTCAGATTCCGTGTCTCCCTCTCTGTCTGACCCGTCCCTGGTCATGCTGTCTCTCTGTCTCAGAAATAAAAATAAATAAATAAAAATAAATTTTAAAAAATCAATTTCAAAGTACATTTTTACCAGTGCCATGGATGTGCCCAACTATGCTAAGAGTGTAAAGACAACCAAAGAAATGATCACATTTAAAAACATAAATCATTACAGGCATGGAAGAATATTAGCTAATCATATGCCAAAAAAAAAAAAAAAAAGCTACCATCTAGTAAGGACTGACTGAACTATTCCAAATCACAATGAGTCCTTTTTCTCTCCTTGCTCCATATATTTCTGTGAGAGGCTTGAAATTTACTTAGTATAGGATTTCAAAATCAAATTCTTACACATTGGACCTATTGTGTTTAAAAATGTAGGCAAATTCTATTTGCCCAGAATAACTTGAGCCAATGATTCATAATATTGAAATTACCAAAAAAATCCATTAAATTTAAAACATCTGAATAATTCAGATGAAAGTAAATTATTCACTTTAAATTACATGATTAACCGATCTAGTTATTTAATTATAAAGTCTTGAAATAGTTGTTTCTTATTTCACCTGCCATCTTGCCCTTGAAGCTTTCAGAGCCTGGAAGTCTGGGGAAGGTACTCAGCTGGAAGGAAGGAAGGAAAAAGATGCTGGAGGGAAGGAGCTCAAGGCAGAGGAGGCCAAACCAGAAGAATATTTCAGAAAATTGATATACTAGAGGCTTGCACCACTCCAGGAGCGGTCCTGTACAGCTCTTGGAAAGCTTTGTACAACTTCTCCAGCAAAAAGCACAACTGTTTCTACTTTGGTAACATTTATCTCTTTGTTAAGAAGACCAATGGCCATTTGATGACACATGATTCACTGGTGAACTTTACAAAAATAGCCTAAAAGGGAGAAGTTGGCCTTTCAGTCAATCAGCAACCAATGAATTAGTTGGAGTGAGATGGTTTAGAGATTTAGTTGCTGCTGGGTTCAACCTGGTTTCCAGTGATGGATGGGGGTGGAGATCCAAGCAGTGAGGAAACAGGAAAATCTAAGGTGAGAAAGAAATAAGTATCTGGGTCAGTGGGGGCAGGACAACTGTAGCATCTTGTTTCCTTGATTAACTACTATTTAAATTAATAATTTAATCCTCAA